GTTGCCTGTAAAAGCGGGCGCTTTCACAAAGACTTTCTGAATGTATTTTGGTGAACAAAATTTTGCTCCACCTTCTGAGTCGCACACAAACCGACAAGAGGAGCTGTAGTGTTTAGTTTTGATTCCAGTAGGAAGAAATTGATTCTGAAAAGTCTTGGATGTCTTTTAAGTCCTGTGCCTTTTTATTTAAACTTTCCAAAGGTTCTGGGACCTGGCTCCAGTTACAGGAAGTCGGAATTGGTCAGAATAATTGCCTGAAACTATCTAGATTTGGGAAGGTTTCTCACCCATCTCAAACCCAAAATCCATTATAAAGTGTATGAGTCCTGCAATAAAGACTTTGTAAACATTTTAGTCATTAGATCCTTATTTTCACTTTTCACAGCTTATATCTCACTTAATCAATTGCACTTATAATTATTTGGGAACACATTCACAGACAGATATACATGAAAATATAGAGAAATATATCCTCGTTGATTGGTATTTCTAACAGTTAGCCCACTTGTACAATAACTGAAAAAATTCAGTGTTGGGTGTAATATCACTCCATATCTGAGTTTCCACTTCCCAGGCAAATGATTCACAGCAAAAGTTCTTTATAACATTAGTAATGATAAGAGGTATTTTCTCAAAGCAAAGGTGAGAAAACGGTTTTGCCTTAATTTACAAAGAAGTGACAATATCCCAGTAAAGGTAACCCGAAGAGAACAAATGTGCTTTTAGAAGAAATTGTACCTAACCTCTAGATATCACATTTAGAGAGATGTGATCCTTCCTTGTGTGAATTTAATTAAGACTAGTAATACACAGTATAGTTTGCACAACTGATTCTAATTCACATAATTGTGATTGCCAGTTCTTTTCTATGGCAAAGGAGATCAAAACCCAGGTGGAGATGTTGCTCATCTAAAACACAAGTCTTGCTGTAGTCTAGTTACAATGGAAGTGTCCAAATTCTGGGGCTACAGGGATGTAGCCTGGGACAAAACATAAAAGCTACCCTTCGCATCTCACAGTTGGATAAAGTTGGTGCTTGCTGACCCACTTGAGGTAAAAATAAACACACTGGATTTAAGTAACTTACAGTTACTAATAGTTTGCTGACTTGTTTTAATAATGAACACTTAACACAAAACCAAACTTATTACTTTGTGTGGTTGGTCCTCATTTTTCTGCTTCAGAGCTTCGAGCATAGTGCTGTGCTTTCAGTTAACTCTGATGTGTGGAGCTGTTGGTGCTCGGTTGATTATCCAAAGAGTGGTTTGAAATGTGGCAGCCTCTGCTCCATGACTACTCAACATTCAAATGACTTTTGTTATCTGGGTTTTTGTTAAGATGCTTGAAAATAGAAACACAACATTTTATTTCTGTGATTTATGCCATAATTTGATCCACCGTTGTGTTCTCAACAAAATCAAAAATCAGGTAACGGTAACAAATCTTTTAAAGTGCTCACATGAATGAAGTAGAAATTTGGTGAATTGGAAAGTAGCATGACGGCAGAACGGGAATGTACCTCCAAACTGCACAGTTTTAGTTACTTTGTGTTAATTTTCAAAACTCTGAAAGAGAATAAACTTTCAAAAGGGTCATTGCTAACAAGATGTCATTAAGCCTTTTTTCTACTAACAAACTTATGAAGTTTTAGGTAATTAGTTAGGATATTCAACTTAAGGGAGCTGCTTTTCTAAAGCTTAGAACCGTATAAGTCTTGACCCCATTTTAGTGGCAGATGGAGTAAAGGAAACAGGTTCTTACAAGGTCAGCTTGCTCCTTCAGCCTATAGTCACATGGAATAGATTTTTTTTTTGTTATGACCTCTATTTTCCATGTAGTAAGTCACTTTGGTGTGATGACTATTCTTTAAAGCTTGCCAGATTTCTGGAAAATCGGAAATTTGTGAGAAATCCATCAGTCTTTTTTAAAGAGCCCTCACACATGGTGAAGTTCAAAACAAAGTGATTAACACAAAGTTCAAACAGGAGGCATTGTCAAACAAACAAATAGACAAGCACTATTTAGAGAAAAAAAAAGTACTGATTACCTAAACTGGGTTAAAGGAAACAGTGATTGTCATGTTGATGGGCAGATGCTGGATGTAGACAAAAAAAATTAACCCCAAGATTATAAATAATGAACAAAGGACAAAAATGAATGATGTGCTTAACAATAGTAAAATCCAAAGAAAATATATTTTTTGCCCTCAAAAAAATGTCCTGAATACATTTCAACAAATGGAAAAGAGACCAGGGCATTGGCATGTCTCCTCCAAAATATTAACTTTATTGGCCATAAGCTGCTTTGTAGTTACCTTGCTTTTATACTTAGGCTAGTTATCCATTTACATGTCTATTTGTGCCAAGCTGTTACTCCTAATGTCGCTTGACTGATGTCTTGAGATATTGCTTTAATATTTACATAAAATGTTCTTTCCTTGTGATACCATCTATTTAATGAAGTGTGCTTGCAATTAAAAAAACAAAAAAACAAAAAAAAAAACAGCACAACACTATGGGGTGCTGTGGTGGTACAGGGGTTAAGCACAGCCCACGTGTGGCCCATAACGCGGCTGCTGCAAGTTCGATTCCTGGCCTGGTGGCCTTTGCCACATGTCTTTCCCCTTCTCTCATTGCCCACTTTTCTGTCAATTCACTATCAAATAAAGGCCACTAGAGCCAATAAAGCCTTACAAAAAAAAATAATAATTAAAAATAAACACAACATAATGCTGCCACCCTCTTTTTTGTCACTTAGGATGGTGTTCTTCAGCTTCCAAAACTTCATTTTTCTTCCAAATGTAATAATTGTCATAGTGGCCAAATACCAGAGGCCATAAATTAAAGGTGTCCATTATTGTGTGCCTTTGCAAGCTGAAATCTGGCTTTTTTATCTTGCTTTTGATATTATGACTTCTTCCTCCCTGACTGAACTTTCAACCCATTTTGGTACAAAAGTCAATGTGTCATTGTGTATAATGACACCAACTTCAGCCAACCTTTTGCTTTTGTTCTGGGTTTTTAGATGCACGTTTCACACCACAAAAATATCCATCTCCTGGATGCAATATGACAGCTGGGCATTCCCACACCGTTTATACTTGCTATAAGTGTTTGAACAAATGAATATTTCACTTTCAGTCATGAAAGACACCTGAGGGTTAACCAGATTTATAAAGGTCAACAAGTATCCAAATATCTCAAATATGTGTTTGGTGTCGACTCGGGATTCATCCACAGTGGTGTCATTGTTTTACTCAAATGTTGTTAATGAACCCATCAGAAACTTAAAATGCCATGATATCATCATGATCCAAGTTTTCACAAACATTATGTCTTTAAACAATAGTAGTATTGTTTAAAGACACAATATGTAGTGTACAGCAGGGTACAGAAAGTAACACAGACCTATTTATTCTGGCATTTGTCAAATAGTAATAATTATGGTATCATTACTAACCTAAAACAAGAAAAGTTTAGTCTGATGTCACAGTGAGAAAAAAAAGTGTATTTGTATACATTAATACATTTGAAACCTCATTTAAACTTGTGGTTCAATGTACATATACATAAATGAAAATAGAAATGTGTGTTTAGACTATATTTACATTTGAACCATATGTTCTTGTATGGTTTTATGTCTGTCAGTACCTCTGACTTGAATTAAAGATGCTTATCCAAATCTTGTTAAATGTAAGCGACATTAAAAAAGCCTGGTGTGTTGGAAAATTTAAAAGTAAATATAAACAATGTAGTTCACTTGGGAAAATAAAAATAAATCAACAACCATACACTGGGAAACTAAGGAAGGTGGAATAGAAGATACGTGCTGCTAACTAATGTAGCTGACACACTTCTGTCAATAAATTGATTCCCCTGAAATGCTTGTATATCTTATACCAGGACAGCAGTCCAATTAGATGGCTTAGTCACGCCACAACCTGAGTTTGTCTTAACTCAGTAAAACTCAGACGCCGTTAGAGCCAGCTAACAACGGGAGTTATTCCATAATAACGCGTCTGACAGGTGTCTTCTGCCAGAACGCCATTAGTTAATGAGCTGCTCTGCCTCACCTGTGGCTCATTCGTTTACTCTCCGCCTCCACTTCCCCTTCCACGCTCCTAAGGTTTTTCCCTCTGCCTCTGCTGGGGTGGGCGAGAAGGAGGACAGGGATTTCGACTCTTGTGTGTGTTCTCATTCAGTGGGAGTGGGGAGTGTCAGGCGTGGTAGTTTAACATTCCAGGAATCAAACCTCATGTATGTGTGATTCTATCCATTGTGCAGAGGAGGGCAGCGAATGGCGAACCCACTGCATAACTCCGGAGAAATCCCCCCCCCCCAAACACAAACATACTGCAGGACAACTTGCAACAGACTATCTTGTTACGAGAGAAAGAGTTTCACTTGTGCTGCGAGCTAACGGTGATATTAATGTTAGCAGAAACGCTCGTGTGTATGAACTGAAATTTCAAATTCTCCAGCCAGCGTGCCTTCACTTGTTGCTGGTAAACATCTTACACGCTTCTTGTAGTCATCCTTTGCCCAGCTTGTACAAAAAGTGTTCAGCTGAGCTGCAAGATGGCTCTTCTCCAAAACTATTTCCCTCCACGCTACAGAGGATCCTCAAGCCCTCTCTCCTTATAAGCATTTCACTGCCGCACACAAACACACACGCACATGCTCTCCCAAAACACACACATGCTGCCATCTTCTGCGCACACATGTGGGTGGAAGGAGAAGGAGAGCAGAGGAGCAAAGGAAAAAAAAAAGGGAGAGAGAAAGAGAGAAGAGAAGTCCTAACCCTTTCCCCTCAGCTGGTGGAAAGTGAAACTTTTGAGTTTTTCTTCCTCCCCCTCTCTGCAGTGTTTGTTAGCGTAGCACTGGCAGCCTCTGTGTGCCCCCCTGCCCACTCTCTCCCGTTGTGTTCTGGTGGCCCAGCTGCTAGCAGGGTTGCAGTTGTACGTGAGTGGGTGGGTGAGACTCGTTTCCTGTGCTCCTCAGGGCTCCGCTCCAACAACTACTGCAGCGCACTCCGGCCAGGGGCCACGGGGGCCGCTGTTCATAACAAACAGGGCGCTGGTTCCTCTCCTCCTCTTCCTCTTCTTCCTCCTCATCTACCACCATCACCACCACCTCCACCACCACCACCACCACCCCATCTGCCATCATCAACATCAGCATACTGCCCACCCTCTCCGCCCACACCACTGCACCTAGCCGAGCCTCGGCCCCTGGAGGCCCCTGGGCTGCGGGCCGGGGCGACACCGCTGCACTCAGAAGGACTGGACATGGAAGTAGAAGAGGCTCCCGAGGGCGCAGAGCCCTCCGCCTTGCCGGAGGTAAGCACACCGAGCTAAGGTCAGCTCCACAGTGCAGGCTGCTCACTGGGTGCCACTCCGCCTGAGAGATAAAAGTTTGGAACAAGGAGTTTAGCACCCAGGGGGCAACTTCAGCCTGCTACACACTCAAGGGGGTTGAGACTAGGCATGGGCCGGTTACTGGTGGGAAGGTTGTTTTTTTTTAAATATCCTTCCAAAAGATTTTTTTGTCATATATTTACTTGGGTTTAGAGTGAAATTAGATGCTACAGAAAGAGTGCCAAGGCAAACCAAAATATTGCCTCCCTGTGGAACATTAAGTAGTGCCACGTTCCCCGATTCTCCACCTGTTTTTGCACACTGCCTGTAAGATGGCTGAAAGAAGCATATCTCACTTATTTTCTTTGCTACAGCAAAGACAAACTCAGACGTTTGGAAATATTTTACCTTTCTAAGAACAGTAAACACTAAAAGAGAAAGGAAAACATTCTAATGTCAAGGTTCTCAGTTGAGAGAATAGAAGTAGGTGGGCTGTTTCCTCAAAGTCGGAGGTCAATTTATGCCATAAAGCTGCAGTTGGTAAGTTTTTTTTTTTTTTTTAATGTTTTTTATATATTTGTCAAAACTGACACTATGTCATGGAAGGATAATATGATTCAGATAACCTGTGGGGAAAAAAAAAAATCAAGCTCCCCTGCCTCCTTCCTCTGTGGTCCTACTGCCATCTGCAGAAATACATGACTCCGGTCAGAAACGACCAATCAGTAGCACGTAAAGACCCTCCTCCTGGCTCTGATTGGTTGTTTCTGACCGAGGGATGCATTTCTGCAAATGGCAGTAGGATGACCATTTGACCAAAAAGTATTGACTTTTTCACAATTTATCTGTCACACACTATAATATCATGACATAAAGAGAGTTTTAACAAATATGTAAAAAAAAAACAAAAAAAAACAACATATTATTAAAAAAGTTACTAACCGAAGCTTCAAGGTGAGGAGTATCTTGTCGTTAGAAATTGATTGGGTTGAGCAGGAACATTGGTGACAATTTTACCTTACTGTGGTTCCAGTCTGTCAGGGTGGAAAGAGGGAAAGAGCCATAAAGCAAAGCTCTCTAATTTCTTGTTTGTCTATGTTTTGGCACTCACCTATAGACAAAAGATGCAGAAAAATGAGACCCGGGGAAAAAGTGGTTGAATAAAGTTTCCCTGCAAGGTCGCTGATCTCAGACTTGGCGTTGGGGTGAAGTGTTCTGAGCTGCACACTGAAAAGAGTCACTTGAGGTGATTCAGGTATCTAATCAGGATGCCTCCCTTTGGAGGTTATCTCGAGATGCCGTACAGGGAGGAAACCACGTGGCACACCAAGAACTCATTAGAGATACCACGTTTCCCTGGGGACGCCTCGGGATCCCACCAAAACAAGCCAGAGAGGAATGTCCAGGTTCCCTTCTTAAACCTGTAAAACCTGCAGCTCAATCCTGACCAGCAAAACACTGAGCTATGCATAGATATAAACAATCCATTAGGCAACATTGTAGTTTTCTGTTCATAACAAAAAGCAATTAGTTTGTTTTTTGTTTTGTTTTTTTGTCTCAGTACAACAATATTGTGAATTAGTGGCACTTTAACATCAGGTTATCATACCATGAGAATCTCTTACCGGTCCATGCCTCGTTGAGAGGTGCAAAAAAAAAAAAAAAAAGTTAATGGGGGGTAATTTTTCATCATGTTGCACCTCTATATCTCATTCAGCCCTTTTCTGTGTCTCTTTCTTGTGTAAATATGCTACATTTCCTGCTGCACTGAAGTTAACAAAGCTGCCTGTGTTTTTCTTTTGCCTTTCTTTTATGCTTTTGACTCTGTTTCTTTCAGATCGCTGTCACCCTTCCCTCTAGTCTCCTTTCTCAGGCAGTCTTTTAATATAGCCAGACCCAAGTTTGCCTTGAAGCAGGGCGTCTTTGCATGGCATTAGAGATAATGTAGTTTATAGTGGTTACATCAGAGATGACACCTTTAGTCACAATGGCAGCATGCGCCCAGAGATAGCAGATAACGGGCAAAGGTAGTGTGATGAGACCGAGTAGAATCAATACTAGAAGACAAAGAGAGGTTTGGTCTTGTGGCTCAGGAAATTGTTTGTTCTGCTGTGTGTGTGTGTAGGTGTGTGTGAGTGTTTCTGTGTGTATGTGGAGGAGAGTGGGCGTGTGTGTGCGTGCGCACGTGTGTGTGTGTGTTGTGCCAGTTTGTGTGCGTGTGAGCAAGCATTTAGGAGCAGCATTTGATTTCAGTGGACCTGCCTCCCAACAAGCCTTCCTATCTCTACGGACAAGCCATCTGTTTGCCCAGTGCATGGTGTTCTGTTCTTAGAGAGGAGGAGGAGGAGGAAGAGTGAAGGAGCTGAGTAAATAGGCGGGGGTGAAGGAATGGCACGGGTATGGTGTGGATAGACGGGGGTAGAGTTTTACTCTGGTGCAGAAGGGATGAGATGGGTTTTGGCTGCACCTTACTGAGACCTCGAAAGATCTGCGAGCATTAGTTAGACGGTATTAAAAAAGTCATTTCTTAAGGGTTGTTATCCTGCATCTTTTCTAGTTCTTCTTGGTTCAACACATCAGAATCAAATGGTTTGTTACCAGGCCTCCTTAGAACTTAAAGACATGCAAGGAAGTAATTTAATCGTTTGAAGCATGGATAGAAATCACGCAGAACCCCGACACTTGAGGATTGTAGTTTCCCATCCCTGCATTGAATAGATAGTTTTGGACTTTCGAAGTGAGATGTAGGTGACCTGCAGCAGATACCGCTCTGGGGAAGTTCATTAAGTGTCAATTTTATTTGGTCCTGCAGCCTAAAGCTAATGGTTTGCACAGGGGGGTACAAAACCAAAGCTGATTTTTAGTATCTTAAATAACTCCAGTCTTAAAAAAGAAAAAGAAAAGAAAAAAACATCCCAGAGGTTTAATGAAAATGAACTGTTAAGCTGTGGTAATGTTTGCATTTGATGATGCTTTTCACCAAAACCAACAACTCTTTTGCATGGTTAATGAAGGTGGCAGGTGGGGTGCCAAAAGTGATCTTCCTGTGAGAATTATGCACGGAAACATCGGTCTGAATCAATACCTCAAATGACTCAATTTCTAAAAATACCGTAGGAAGGAAAGCATTTTAAATTCACTGCTTTCCCTACTCTACAGTTGTATATTCTTTACATGATCATTTCTTTCATGGATAACAACTATCACAGTTTCTCAGATTCTCTGTTCTGCAGATTGAACAATCCAGTGGCTTTAAGCGCCTGTAAATACAGATTTTCTAGCAAGCCCAGGAGGAAATAAATCCCTTTTTTAATGAACCTGACATATTCAAATTAAAGAATCTCAAGCTGGTGGTCTTCTATATTTCAAATTCCTATGATCCTATGCCCAGCCCCCCTGCCGTTAGATTTATTTTTTTTTACCAAATATTTTTCCAAAACAACGCAGACGAAAATATTGGGAACTATCGAACAACTTTAGGTTGTTCACTCTCTAAATACCTGTTGGGGAGGAGTTGACGCTCAAGACATCCTGACAACTCATCTTTGAACAAAGACATAAGATCAAGATTATGCATTTCTAATTGGGCCGTAGATGATGGATTTGAATGTGCATGGGAATGTGCACCATTTTACTGAGTTAATTCCAGTTTGTTTATACAGGGCCAATTCAAAAGAAGTTTAATTTTAATCCACTTTGCAAGACAAATAGACAGAAGCGTGTAATCAAATCCCGCCCAATCTTAAATATAGATTCAGTTCTGACAGGGGGAAAGCAAGGACACAGCTTTTGCTTATTTTTCTTTTGTCATCATAAATATAAATAAGCAAACTCCACAAAAAAAATCTCAGAAAATCTGGACACCGGGTGTACTACATGCATATTTGATTACTCGGTTACCTGAGTGTTTGATTATTAAAATATTCAACAGCTGCAACTTTATAAAGAACAGAACATGTAAAGCATTGTCAGTCAGAGTAACTGTAGAATGTAAAGGCGAAAAACTAAATTATTCTTGTGCTTTAAGGTAACACTGTTTTATTGATTTTTACACCGCCGTGCTTTTCTGCAAGGTCGCTGCCCTGACCAGAAACTCTTTAAATGCTTTGTTCTGTGTTTCACACAGGAAGATCATTGGTGCTGCACCACCACCTTCCTCTGTTTTATGTGTAAATAATCCTCAGCTTTTATGTAAATCTACACACACTACAACTGTGGCCAGAGTTTTTTAAGCTCATAAATCAGTGTTTGCATAGACACTTTGATGTTCCGTGGTTTATTCTTCCCATCAAATTCCAAGTTGTATGTAAAATTAAGGACCTTGAAATACAATCTGTATGTAGTGGCTTATTTTGTGTTTGACTTGCCAAAACTCCTGTTTTGTCAAAAATCATAGACTGCTATTTTGTATTTGACTTAATGATGGAATCAACCAATAAATTCCCACTTATTCAAAATTTTAAAAAGAACCTTTTCGCTACGGTTTTTCCTCTAAACCGGTTTTGTTGAGGATTTTAAACGTGACCTGCAGAGGGCAAGCAAATCAGTGACACTTAAACTGTCTTTTACCACAGTATCAAATTAAAGGTCATCATGTTGCTTCGTGATTTGTAAAATGTACAAATAATAATAATAATAACAACTGAGCTAAATGTTTTGCGATGAATTGTTCAGAATGTTGTCAAAACTGACAGAAAAATTGAGAAATGTTAATCTAGGAAAGTGTTTGATTTAGAAATATAAAAATATTTGGAACCTTGGTCTTTGTCCCTCTCTGGCTAGCTGTTAGCTTTAGCCTCATGGACAAGTAATACAGACTCACGCTAAAGTAAGCAACTGCAGGTAACCTTTCAACAAGCCTAATTTTAAAAGTCCTTAGTGTACCCATTAATAACATCTCTACTTATCAGTGTCAGCCCCTAAAATTATGTAGTATCTTAAACTCTTTTATGACTGCAGTTTTTGTTGTTTGCTCTCTTCCTGTTTCTCCCTCTTTTAACCAGTTTTTGCATAATTATGACCATGTTTTCCTTCTTTGAACTTTTTATTTCTTTATATCTGGTTTATGCATGTTATAAAAAGGGTTTGCTTTCACAGCTTTACCCCCTCCCTGCCTTCTGCATGCCCAGACAACATTCCTTACAGATTGCACAAATGTGTGTCGCATAACGGAATATTTTGTGCTTACAGGGGAGCATAAAGGAGAGAGAAGACATGAAAGACTGCAGCACAGGTAAAGTTCAAAACTTAACATATAGAGAATGTGTCAAAATTGGAGTGTCCTTTTTGTTTCTGACTTAAACTCCTTGCTATTTCAGCTTTGGAAGATGACCAGTCCCCTGTCGAGAGGGATCAGATGGGCGAGGGGAGTTGTGCCGGTGGCTCGTCAGTGCCTGCGTCAGTGTCCGTACCTGGCACGGGATCTAAAGGGCCGCTCGCGCTGGGTGAGGAGGCTGGATCAGGGGAAAAAGTCCTGCCAGAGCACGGTGGCTTCTCACAGGGGCTCGCCTGCTCCCTGTGCAAACGGCTGTTCAGCAGCCTGGAGCATCTCAGGGAACACGAGTACCACCACACCCTGTCTCTGATGGCCCTGTCCCTGGACTGGCCAGGCATGCCGGGTCCTCTCCACCAGCCAATCCAGCCGCGTCACCAGTCGCAGCCCCAGCCTCCCCTCTTTGGGCAGACCCTCTACCGCCCCGGAGTGGGTGAGCCCGTTCCGGCCCGCTACTTCTGCTCCCACTGCCCCGCCAGCTTCACCCTCAAATCCAACGCGGACCGTCACGAGAAGACCATCCACTTTAAGAAGAAGCTGATGCAATGTGTGTACTGCCTGAAGCACTTTCGGGATCGCACAGACCTGCACCGGCACCTGTCCTCTGTGCACTCCAAAGAGAGAGGGCACACCTGCCCGGCCTGTGCCAAGGCTTTTAGCACCCAGAAGAACCTGGCAACGCACGTTAAAGTGTGCTGCCAGGTGGCCTTAGTGCCAGGAGCCATACTGGGAGGCAGCACTGGAATGGAAATGTCTCAGGGTGGGCTTACAGACCCGCTGTGGCGGCTAAACCAACACCTGAAAGTTGACAGTTACAATGGCAGTATCGACGTGGAAGGCCTGTAGAGTCACTCATACCCATTTGTAGTTAGAATTATACCTTCACTTACATTTCACATTCATGCCAAAAATGCTTTGTAGTGTTATTATCTCGGAATGGAAGAATTCCTTATGATCAAACGTGTGGAGCACTTTTCTTTTTTTTTTCTTTTTTTTTTTACACCTTGTTAAATATCATTCCATTAGTATTATGTAATAATAACCCATTTAAACTTATGACAATTTGTCAGAAGTGCACAATTGCTATGCAAAATGAATCCAACGGAACACCCATTAAACTTTTGACCCATAATTTATGCAATGTTTGAATAGTTTTAGTAAGAACTATCTGAACCCATAAACCAGGTGAATAACTTTTCACTGCCGTGCCGAGCCGACAGACGGGGGGGGGGGGGGGATTTTCACTTCCTCAACTTGAACCACTTGCCTGGTTCTCTGTCACCAGTCACCACTGTGACTAACGCTTTCATCTCCTTTTTAGGCAGAGAGATCTCAATCTTTGTGTCCACCCATGCATTACGTGCACAAAGACGTTAAAACGGAACCCATACCTGTCAGCCATAGTGGGTTGAAGCCCAAACAACCACACCACCTGCAGGAACTTTGCAGGACTGCAAAAAGAGAAGAGAATAAGACTTTTTGCACCCGAGTCACTATTATATAGAATTGGAAGATAGTTTCTAAAAAATCCTGTGATAGGTCCAGATAAGATGGACTCACAGCAGTCGCTCTGACGCCCTGAAGCTGTCAGATGAGCACAGATGGAGAGGATGTGCTGAAGAAGACAAAGCCTGCTTAAAACAATAGGCCAGCAGCAGCTTGGATGGGGGTTGGTTGGTGTCATTTTCTCTCTTTATTCCGGCCACCTTCTTAGATCCAGATCTGTGAGTGCTGTAGTGGCCGAGCAGGGCAGGACCTGGTCAGTAATCGGTCCTCCACGGCTTCGGCCCCCCTGTTGACCTCTTGACCCCCACATCTGAAGTGGAAGCAAGGGCCGAGGGGCAGAGGCCTGTTAAACCAGTGGAGCTCAGTGATGTCACGGATGCAGAGCGATAATGGCGCTGTGGTGTGCTCCGGGCAGAAAATGGGGAATCAAGTGAGACAAGTGGAAAAACGCATATGAATAATAATAAGGGAGACAGTGAGGGCTGTGTTGGTGAGCAGCAGTTGGACTGAACAAGAGCTTGACAATCATTGCTAATGTGAATTCGCACCAGTTTCTGCCAAAACACTTTTGCTTTGAGTTTACGATAGTTGAGCAGCAAAATACAGTAAAACCCGATATTGAAAACTTGTCTTTCTCAGTAAATGTATTTGTCACTGGGGTATTGAAATGAAATTCATGTCAGATGTTGGTAACGACCTAAGCAATACACACCTACAAAGAATCACAAATTAACTTAAAAATGTGTGTGTGATAAAGTGGATTGACAAAGTATTGCCATAAGTACGAAGACACGTTTACTGAAATGAATCGAGTATTTACTACAAAAATCGTTTTTGGCAATAACATCTTGAGGACATCTTTTTTTTAGAAAAACTAGTGGCATGTATCACTCTGGTGTAATTTTGACCCATATTTCAACAAAAACTGACTTCAAATCTTCAGGAGGTCTTTTTTTTTTTTTAAAGGTTTTGTTGGCTCTAGTGGCCTTTATATGAAAGTACTTTGACAGGAAAGAGGGTTATGAGAGAGGGGCACTTTAGTTCTGTCCACAGATAAATTGTACACAACTCAAGTAATTAACTGGACCAATCGAGAAGCTTTCTGTGGATTTTAAGTTTTTGTTGTTGTGTGTTTGGGAACATTGTAGGACATAACATCCCACTCACTTCAGGGTCTTATAAAGGATGTCTCGGTAAAATTCTCCATCTATCCTTCCTTTTAACCGTATGAAGTCTGCTGTGTTTGGAAAACCATCGCATGACATACGCACCTTTAAACGTCACTGGTGGTGCAGAGTTTTTGTGGTGAAGTTTAGCACCATTCCGTCTCCAAACGCACTGGGTGCAGTGACGTCCAAAGAGGGTCATTTTAGTCCCATATGACCAAACTATTATTTCATGAGCTTGTCCACATGTTCTGCTGCTAATTTTGAAAGAGCTTTGAATTGTTTTATTCCTCCAACAATGGAGTCTTGTGCAGTGAGTGTGCACAGTGGCCATTTGGTAGTGTGCTTGCCTTTTTGTTTTTGGGCTTTCTAAAGTTCTCTGTAAGTGACCCCTGACCCTTAGACAATTCTGATTGTTCTTCTGATATTGTCTTGCAATGGTTTTGTCTTGCATTGAGCACCAGGATGCGGCTGGCATGTTGTAAAGTCATAATCTTTCCACGTCCAGATTTTTAACCTGTACAGTACGCATTGGGACTTTAGGAGATTTAGAAAGGGCTCCATAAGTGATGTCTTGGAGCTTGTTGTGTGATATCTTGGTAATGAGAGAAAACTTTTTAGAATTCATCACTCAGGACCAAAACAGCTGATATTTTCTGACAATGATAGGCGGGGTATTTGCTTTCTAAATAATGGGAGATTTTAGTTGTTCTCTTGGGTTTTTGTGTATTGTTAAAGCTTCTTTTCATCACAACTACTCTGCGTTATTTCACCTTATTTCCTACAACGTAATTCATAGATGTATTTCTTTGTGGTAGTGGATTACTTGGGTTTTTTTTTATCAACATCTGCTTTGGAACTTTGTCTGTGGAAGCATTAGAAACAAATATACTGAGAAAAACTGTGTTCACTTCCTATTTTTTTCTTGCCACATTGTCTTGTTACAGCAAAAGTTTCTCAAATACACCTATACCTTGAAGAAGATACCCATGATTCAGGTATTCACCTGCTTTTGTCTTTTTAGGTGCTCTTTATTAAAGCAAAACTTGAGCCCATTGGGATAATTTGTCCCTTTTCTGTTGCAAATGCACAGAAAACTCCCAACTGCCAAATGCTTTATGAAATCCCATCTTCAGGTAGCACATTTTGCAGCTGAACAGAGTCACAGCTTGATGGAACTCAGGAACTGAATGGGAAATCTGCGGAGGTAGTTGTTATGTTGTGGTATCTATGCGTTTGAAAAAGTGTAAGTACAGGAAGATATGTCCAGATTTAGGCTGAATAATGTATCTTTGAAACCCATGTACTGTTCAGACATCTGTATGTTTGTTTTTTTTTTGTTTTTTTTTTAAACTGTAGAATTCATGCTGTGATTAAATTATGGTTGAAAACTGAAATTTTGTTGCAGCTCCTTTTTTTCCCCCCCCCCCCCCCCTCCCACCCCCCAACATTTGTGTTTTGCACACATGCACACTGACATTCACGAGAATTCGTCTACTTCAGAATTTGAAAGCCTGACTCTGTTGTGTGGTTTATTTGTCCTTGCATGTTTTTTCTTCTATTTTCTTTCCTTTTTTTTTCTTTTTTTTTTCTTTTTTTTTGATGTGCTGTCAAATGTTTAACGAGAGCCGAAGCCGATGGAGGTAATTACAAGCGATGACCCCCTCCTTTGTATATGCAGTAGATGTGCACAGTGTGTGTTGTGCCTTTAAACCCTCGTCACTGTAAAATACAGTTTCCCCTCCATCGTGTCGCTGATTTTCTTGTCATTGTCTGTGTTTGCCTTTCTGTCTGTGTTCTCGCAGTCCACACCAGAGACCTTCTAGAGCACCTTAGGCAGACTCAATGTAGTGTCATGTGTTTATAGTATCGCTATGCCTTTATTGCTTTAGCATGGAGGAAGAGCTTGTTTCCAGGGCAACTGTAGCTTTGCCTGGGATTGGGATGACCATGGGAATTGATGTTACATTTCTAGCCCATGCTGCTAATTAAAAGCAATAACTGAAAAGAGAAGTCATGTTTTTTTTTTCTTTCAAAGCTAATCTTTTGCCTCTTCCTTTTCTTTTTCTCCTCCCTCCTTTTTCTGTCCTTGCAGTGAACGACTTCACAGTGATCCGTAAAAAGTTCAAGTGCCCATACTGCAGTTTCTCTGCTATGCACCAGTGCATCCTTAAGAGGCACATGCGATCCCACACCGGTGAGAGGCCATACCCATGTGAAATTTGCGGCAAGAAGTTCACCAGACGGGAACACATGAAGAGGCACACGCTGGTGAGTGCTATCTTGCAGCCGTTGCCCCCTAGGGGTGTCCTGTTACAAGTGTGCATGTGTCATCAAAAAAGACAAAAAATAAAATAAAAAATCAGTTATTCAATTTAAAAAACAAAATTGATATTTTCTGTTCCGTTCGATGATTATGGCTTACATTAATGAAAACTCCAAATTTTAATTCTTAGAAAGTTTTAATATTACGCCCGCCCAATAAAAATTGCTAGAGAAGTTAAAGCCACTCATATGTGGTCATTAAGCTGAGTTTTGATACTTTTGATGGTGTGGGCAGGAGTCGAGACCTGCTGGAAGATGAAATCGGCCTCCTCATAAAGCTTGCCAGTAGAGGGAGCCATGGAGTTCTCTAAATTGTTCAGGTTTACACCTGTGCTGATTTCATCCTTGATAAAAACACAATGGACCAACACTCGCAGGTGACATGACTCCTCAGTAAGTCATGTCTTACTGACTTAGTGATTACACACTCTGAACCTGGAACCTCACTCTGGACCCCCCACATTTAGGATTCGGTGACTTTATGCGCATTCTGTGAACTGACAGATTCTATAGTAATGACCGTGTGTCTTACCCTTGTCATTGATCTACTAGACATCTGTCAAGTTGCTACTCTTCCCCATAATTGTATGGGCCATAATATGACATTTCTGTTAAAAATAAGTTTTTAAAATGGGCTTATGTAATCTTAAAATGTTCTTAGAAAATGTGTTTTATTAGCTCTGAGCCATAAATATCAAAATGAACAAAAAATAAATACTTGAAATACATTTTCATGATACATAATCATGGTGTATCATGCATCTATTTAGATGAGCTTCACTTTTAGAACTGAATTACTGAAACTTAAAAAAAAAATAATAATTGAAATCCAAACTGTCACTGAAAAACACACAATGCTGTGTCTCCATCCCACAGGTCCACAGCAAGGACAAGAAGTACGTGTGCAAGGTGTGCAGCCGGGTCTTCATGTCCGCTGCGAGTGTTGGGATCAAACACGGCTCTCGGAGGCATGGGGTCTGCGCCGACTGCTCGGGCAGGGGCATGGCCGCGCTGCTGGACCACAACGGGGAGACGGGCGGGGACATCTCCCCCGAGGAGGAGCTTTATCCTGGGGACCGGTTTCACGACGACCAGGCGGAGTGCGATGGGGACGGGGAGGAGGAGATGATGGTGGAAGGGGACAGTGAGATTTTGGGAGAAGGGGAGGAAGAGGCGGGGAAGTGGAAGGACTCAGGGATGGCCGCCGAGGCGCACAGAGCACTGGACAATGAGAAGGAGGAGAGCGACTCCTCGGCTCAGGAGGGGGAGCAGCAGAATGGGAGTGAGAAGGACTTTGCTTGGATCTCGTAGAACCCGTCAAGCCTCCTGCTTGTGGCTCGTCAACCAATCTCTGGAGATCTCCTCTGATCTCTCAGGCAGATTCCTCTGCTCACTTTACCCACTCGCCCACCCACTGTGGGCAGGCCTTCCTTTGTACGGAGATGCTGTAGGGTGATGCACGACAATGATCGAAACACTCAAACACTCCACACACACACACACACATGCACGCACGCATACACACTTTCTCAAGCTTGACCGCCATAGAAGAAGAGTAATCAAGAGATGGCTTGAGTGCAAGGCTTTTTTCCGCTTACCTCCTCCACTTCAGATGCAGTGTTTTTGTGTTTCTTCTTCTTCTCGAGGGTTCAGGCTGGAGTCCAGCCGTTTTCTGCTCTGTCACAACAGGTATCGGGCTGCCAAGGACGCAGCCGGCGCTAGACTGCAACTTTGTATGTTTGCCATCACAATCATTGCAGAAACCGAGGATCACAGGCAGAGTAAGGGGAGGGGACAGCCAGGAAACGAGGGCGTCTCAAAGCGAGAGTCTAAATCTATTGCAAAGATCAAGTGTCAGGGTTGGGGGACTGCGATGCCCCAAGTGACACATTTTCTTTTTTGAGTCCTACTGCCACAGACTTGCACTTTAATAACAACTGACTCCTATCAAAGTCCTGAACCCATGGTTTACATTTTTAATCTGATCTTTACTTACCTGAACAACTCGGTGACCGCACCTACCTTTAAGGATGTACCTTATGTCTTCTCTGACTGTTATCGCCAGATAGAAATCACTGAATCTTTGTGCAGATTGCTGATCATAGAGCCTATGCCTTTTCAGTGGGGTCCTTAATCTTTTCTTCTGTTAAGTTCACCACCTGGTTTCTATTGATCCATTCCAACAGAAGCTGGAGATTTGTACATAAAGATGTAAAAGAAAGGGGAAATGAAGGCTGTGTGAGACAGAGAGAGACAGAGAATGAACTTTGCTTTTACAAATTGGGGAGTTTAAAACAAAACGTTTCTGCTCTGACAGTCGATGCGAGTGCACAGTGGACCTACCTTACACTAACAAACACTCTTTGTCTCTCTCGCTTGTCTCTCGTGCTGAAGTTTGTGAAGATAGGACCTGTGAGCCAAGTCTCTCACACCTTTTTTTGTTTTTCTCTCTCCCTGGTTTTATTCTGTTTTGTTTGATTTCCTCTTTACTCAGACGTGTAAATTCCAGTTTCTCCACACAGAATATGCAGACACTTTTCGTGGTTACTCTTTTGCGTGCTCCAGTTCCTCCTGCTTTGCGAGGTGTAAAGATAAAGGATTCAACGTTGTGCTTGAAATTCAGAGATTTCAGTATTTGTAGAGAGTGTAATATTGATTTGTTATTTATTGAGAACCATTTTTTTCCCCTCTCTGTGTCTGCGTATGTGTGTGTGTGTGCGCTTGTGTGTGTGTGTGCGCATGTGTGTACGTTTGAATGAAAGTCTGGCGTCTAGAAAGAGTCTACACTGATTTTTAAGATTATTTCTGAATTTTTTGGCAAAAGTTATTGACAATTCAAGTGAGGCTGATAACATGTCTTATTATTATGAATAACTATGATTATTGTTGTTGTTGTTACTATTAATTATTCTTATTAAGTGCTGGATGCTAAGCTTTACTGTGTGTTTCTCTTTTTTTTTGATATTTTATATCTTGTACAAAAAGAAAGCTTTTATACTTTGCCTTGTGGATAGCAAGCCATGGGGCTTTTTATCAACCTTTTATTGTGTCGGTTTACGCTTTTTTTTGTCGTATTTACTTCTTTATTTTTATTTTTTTTACTACTGAGGGGGAAAAACACACTCACTGTCCTGCTCCTATGTTGAATATTGATTGAAACATTTTATTCAGCTTATGCTTTTTACACCACTAATGTACACTAATTGATTATTATGGAACCAAAAAAGGAGAAAAAAATATACCAATCTAGTACTTTAGTATACATGAAGTGCTTTTGTTTTGCGGTCTGTGTTTTAACGAGTGCTTTTTGCCTTTATAGTCGTGGTAAACGGTTCGTTGTTGGGTTGTTTTTATTTTATTTTGTTTAGTTTTTTTTTTTTTTTTCCCCCACGAGCCTGTCGCTATTCATCACAATCGGATTAAAGAAGTAAAGAAGTGCACGTTTTTTTTTTTTTGTTGTTGTTTTTTTTAATTATTGTTGTTATAAATGAAGGGCTGCGTGAGAGGGAACAGCTAGTTTTTTGAAGACTCCAAGCAGATTAGATTTTTATTTTATATCTTCACAGTTAAAGTGACACACAGTGAAGCAGTTTGCAGACTAAACACTCCTCTCTAACGCAGGTGTGTTGAGTCTGCAGTTTGGATCTCAATCTTAAAAAAATAAAAATAAAAAAATGGAAAAGAAGTGCTGCAGCTGTAACATGTCGCCTGTGATAGTTGCACACATCAGGCTCTCTGCTCTGCTGCCAGTGCCATGGACTGTACTTCTCATCAAAAAGAAGAAGAAGAAAAAAACCCTCAGCACAACTTGTGATGCTTTCTTCATTTCTAGCAGCTCAGCTATTTAATGTGTTTTTGATCCATTTATCAAATTGCTCTTTATTTCTGGGGTTAATAAAAAAAAAAGACAATGGGGTAGACATTTTGATGAATGTTAGTAATGGGTGTGGAAGGAGCCCATGATCAGTGACAAATCTCTGTCCTGCGGTGCTGTTATGGCCACTGAGAGACATCTGGATGTATGTTTGATTCCCCCAGACCCTTCCCACCCCACACTTTACTCTCTTCTCACGACCTGTGCTGTATGTCCTCTTCCTCATTCCGGGTTGTACTTCAGGAAAACGTCCGCCATCGACCCCTCAATATGTGCCTCAATGACATTTTCTTTCACCCGCGTGCTTGCGAGATGAATATTTGTGTGTGTGGATAGAGATTATGGAGATGTGTTTTGTTTTTTGTTTTTCTCCTGAGAAGACAAATCATAACGGGGCAACTAGATCCTCCCTCCTTTTCCTTGACCTTTCGTGCCCTGATTCTGTGGTCTTAACTTGCATGCCTGTGTTCATTTTTGTCATACCAAAGCGACATCTTCAGCATCTGCGCACGGCGGTCTCATTCCACACAATGCAAAACTGGAACTGTTTGCTCTTTTTGCAGATGAATATGGGTATTCTTTGACGTGTACAAACTGCAATCCTCATTCAGCCTGTATAGCTTGACTCACACGTGAAAATCATGAAGCCATAGATATGGGTATATCTATATTCTACTATATTTAAAAAAAAAAAAAACAAAACAAAAAAAATTTGGCGCTTTTTACTTTAGATTTTGTTCTTCTACTAAGAGTGATGTGTGTATACCTTCATATATATGAATTTATATTACTATTATATATTATTTATTTACTCTTTCAAGTTTCAAAGGGTCTTTCATTTGTAAAAGGTCACACTTGAAGCTTGAGGTTTGTTTATTTTTGTTGGGAATATTTGTTCAATATGATACTGACTTTATAATGATTATTATCATAATCCTGTGTTTGTAACAAAATGTGGTAATCAGAAAAAAAAAAAAAAAGAAAAAACTGTCCTGTTTTTACTCCTGTTTTGTTTTTTGGGCAGACTTAAGTGCTCTTGTGCTGATTTTTATTTTTTATTTTTTCTGTTTGTTTTTTTGGTTGATAGTACTGATCACAGAACATTTTTACGGTCAACCATAAGCCTTCTGTTTCGATGTTGGGTCGAGCCCGCGAGTTGTCCAAGCCTCTTTCTAACTTCATGTTTAGTGGAAGAATTAGCTTGACTATTATTTGCAAAATCCAATCAGTCTCAATAAATTTTGAAATTGCTGCTGTAAAGACATGAGCAGTGTCTACTGTGCTTTTTTTGTTTGCTTCCTTTTGTCCACTGGGGGGCGCAATAGACAATTTAGAAAAAGGAAAAAAAAAATCCGTTGGGATAATTTTTGTCAAATGTTCTTGTCTAAATCTCCAGACATGTTGCACTCCAGAAAAACTTGTGAAAAACATCCTTAAATAAAATTCTAGTTTAATTTCTATTTCCTTTCAAAAAGTGACCCCTGGTATTAGAATTTTAAAACCTTGTTTTAAAACCTGGACTGCAATACATCTTTATAAACTTGAAAAATGCATTGTAATAATGGAATTTTGATTATGTGTTAGACATCTAAACAAAAGTTTAACAGGGCAAAGTCTAGGGCTCTCAAAAGTACTTGAGATCCAAAACACAAATATACAATTTATATTGTACCAGCATTATTATTTTTTTTTCTTGCAACATGAATTTGGTTAAGTATTTCTATGTTAAGTACTATTAAGAGATTTTCACATATCTTTACCTAGGATGTCAAAAAAAAATCTGATGCCAGACGTCTTCCATTCAGGTTTATTTTTCTTTACCGTCACATTACATCACACAGATCAATCACATTATAAGCATCATACATGTTCATCCATCTTTTCAAGCACTAGTGAAAGGCTTGACATTCATACGAGTACTCCTTGAGTGCACCACTGCTCAGAAAGTGCTTTCTCCTTGTGTGTGTGTGGGCCTGCTGATGAAGACCAGGAGCAGAGCCCACCCAAAAAAACAGGAGAAATCTTGGCCTCCAGTGAAGACCCAAAGGCTGATGTCACGTTTCCGCCAAAAAACTCTTCCAGCACTGAGTGTAGTCAGGCCGCTCCTAGTACGTTTGCTTCCACCATCAGCCTCGAGTTCCTGGATACTGAGAGGGGAAATCTAACACAAAACCCTTCAGTGTTGTATCTCCTAACATACACAAAAATAAAGAATATGAAAAGAATGAGCAATGCTAGACATGCACAACGTCGTCAAACTCAATCAGACAATCGGGAGAAAAATAAAAGCGTAAGGCTCAGTAAAAACACAACAGCACTGAAAAAAAAAAAAAGGTCATCAGAGGATGGGGTTTGACAAACGCCTGGACAGACAATACAAGCACAGGAGAGGGAGGTGTGGAGCTGCCATTGCAATGAAATACATGTGATTTTGAACAAATATATATATTGTTTTTTTGCTGCTGCTCTTTAGTGAACAAAATGAAAACTGACATTCAGGAAAGCAGCACACCAATTTTGACGTATTTGGTAAGAGAACAAAAAGGCTTTTTTTTTTTTTGATGCACATTTCAAGGGTTTAGTTTAGCTTAATGTACTGGCTAAAGGCTTGGGTGGAACCACAGTGAAGCTGAGTAGCACACAAAAAGGAATTGCTGCGGTGAAAGGAGAAGCGGGGAAAGACACGAACAGCATGCTGTCTGTTGGAATGCGCTGGGCAGGATAAAGATGCCCCAAAAGGTAACAATTTCCATTGTGACCGAAAAGGTTGAAAGCCATCCTGACTTGAGGACAACTTCCTGTCACAACCCCAAAAAAAATTCAAGACAAAAAAAAAAAAAAAAGTACACAAACTCACACGAAATGACCGAGTCGGCCGAATATAGAGGACAAACTGATAAAAGTGGATCATAAATGTCACCAAAAGGCATGAAAGTTTTTGTTCCGCTGTAAATAGTCATTGCACAAAGATAGTAAAGCAATACTGCATGGTTGTGTTATTCCATATGATTCATCAGTGTGGCGACAGATGTTTGTAGGCGTTAAGAAACAAAACAAAATAAGGACGCACAACAATTTCTCAAAATGGCTAAGCTAGCCAGCAACTACACGAAAACAACAAAATGAATTTTTATAAGTTGTACATTCAACAGGTTGTCAATTTTTTTCTCCCCTTTGCCACTAAGCTACAATATACATTGAATCAGTTCACTATAGGTTTGCAATTGCCTTTAAAAGTGAAAAAAAAGAACATATTCTGAGCAACAGTAATGTAAAAAAAAAAAAAGAAAAAAGACAAAGTTTCCTTTTCGTATAACAAAGATACAACAAAACAACATGTGACAAAGCCTCACAGAACTCTTTATCTTGCTTTATGTACAACAAGGCCCTGAAACTGCAAATGTTATGCTGTCACCGCATGTTGTGTGTGAACTTTGCCGTTTCCCGCACACCCGTCAGCAGTTAGTGTCAATCTCCATCCACTGACTTCTAGGGAGAATGCATTGTAGGAAGTAAACTTCGATTTAAACTAGAGGTGCGCCGATCAGTCATTTCCTGGACAATACCGATGTTCGAGTTCTTAAAACATTTTAAAAAATGTGGAATAAAATAGATGCATCATAGCCAATCAAGTGAAAATTGGTACATTATTATCTCTGGTTATTTGACTGGTGCGTCTCTAGTTTAAGAGCGAGTGATCTTTGAGGATAAAAAAAAAAAAAAAAAAGTTATTGAAAATAGAGTTCCAAGCTCCATTGTGAAGCGCAGAGCTAATGGGGCCAATTTCAACATGGGAGAATCCAGTGGCAGTTTTTGCTTAAATGGCACCCAGCAATAGCTTTAGGTGGTCCTAATGCCTAAAGAGCAATAAGAGTTCTCTTGTGTGTTTTAACAAATAAAGGTTTCATAGTTCTCAACATTTTTTTTTAAGAATATCTGTGCAGTATAGCATAATTCAGTCCAGTCTAAGGATCTTAGGTATTAAACGAGTGATAATCAAATGTAGTTCCAATTTCTAAAAAACAAAAACAAAAAAACCCTGTGAAATAGCCCTTTTCAACTGCACCACAATAGATGTTATAAATCAAAGATCAACTTCAGCCTGCCTCAGTGTTCAGCCATATTTACAACTCTGAAGGCAACTAAAAACTTGTTTGGTGCACAAATGGGAGAAAAAAAAAAAATCTTCAGGTTGGCCCTAAGCTGTGGTGCCCTGGGTAGTGAGCCACATTGCTCATAACAAAAACTGCCACTAAGCGGAACAGTGGGGAGAAAAGCCCTGTTTCCTCTAAATGTGTCCCATTGTCTGCCAACTGAAGCTCTCGGTACATGGACCTGCTGGTGTTTACGTACGGGATGGAGAGACCTAATGGGTGGCTTTTCATACTCTTATCGACAACCAAACCAAATGTACTGAACAAAAAAGTGGTATCCAGCACTAACAATTGTATGTACATACATGAAATACATTATCTTAGTAAAATGTCAAGAAGCAGGAGCATTTTTTTTTAATAAATGAAAGGAAGAGCAAATTTGCAGCAGTGTGTTTAAAAAGCATGTGAACAATGTGAGAAAAAAACAACAAAAAAAAACAAAAAAAAAACTCCAGGCTATGAACACTTTAAAGCATCTTCTGTTATCGAGATGATAACGTGTAGCTATGTACTGAAACTGGTGTTTCCCCATCACTGCAATAAGGCTGGAACCGCTTCCAGCCAGTGGCGCTCATCCCAGGATCAAGGCAAAGAGATCGACGACCGCCGAGTACCACACTGTACTTCCAGTACCACGCAACTCCAACTGTCAGCACTACAGTGTTAAGTACAACATCTGACACCGAGCACGAGACTGTGGCTGTCAAGATCACTTGCCATTAATGGGGAAACCCCTTGGGAGGGGTGCTCGGCCCCCTTTATTTCCCCACTGTCAGCCTATGAATGGATCCCTCCAGACTCATCGGGGAGGGGGGAAAAAAAAAAAAAACCCGACCTTTTCACTTAAAAATCTGTAAATACAAAACGTTCATGTATAAAAAACATGTCTATGCGCAGTACAGCGTAGTGCAATTTCTTTAAAGGTCATAATACCCTTTTCCTTTATGTTTTAACTTTTATTGGCACTTGGTGAATTTGGTGACTGGAAGAGGCCTGCTGACCTAGCTTATCTGGAACACACTGATACATAAAAAATTTAAACGAAGCATCATGAAGGCTTGAACTGTGATGGTGACAATGTCTGCTTAATGTTTTCCTTAGCTCTCATCAAAAAATTATTACAGGTCCTTTTGTTTTTTTTCTTGTAGCACATCTGACCTGCCGATGCTAGAAAACAATACCAATGTTTTCACGGAGACGAGAGGTTTGACGCCGTCGACGCAAATACGTGCCAAACAAAGAACACGTCCTCTGTGAGGTCTGATCAGGTTGACGAATTAAAAAAAAAACGTGCATCACAATTTGTGAGACGAAGGAGGCCAACGTACAGCATACATGTCTCTATGAATTTACACCCACTGACAGAACTATATCTTTGCAAACGTGATCATTTCATGTCTAAATCAAAGGTCAAAAGATGAGAGGGAGAAAGGTAGTCAGAAATTTCTACAGACTTTAAAGCCATATGGGGCTACTTTGAGATTTAGGACAATAGGAATAAATAGTTCAGCTAACTTTTTTCTCAGAATTAATGTATCATTTAAAAGAAAAGAAAAATAAAAAGGTATAGTTTTTTTTTTCATACACAAGTTGAAAACTGATTGAGTCAACTGAGGAAATTTACAAAATTTACTAACAATGGACGTATACAGACAATGCCACTCTGAAAAGATCCGAGTTGCCAACTTTTTTTTTGTTTTTTTTTTGTTTGAATTTTTCTCTCATTAAAAGATTTTCTATCTATCTAAATGCGCCAATCGTAAGTGCTTTCTTTCTCTTTTACTTTGGAAATGTACAATTTGAAAAAACTACATTTTAAAGAGGTGGACAGCATTTAATTTTTAATATTAGAAAGTTATTTTTTTTTTTTCTTTGCCCTGTATTTCTTATTAAAAATGAATCGGGTAACAAAATGGGCTCTAAAGTCAGCCGTTCTTATAGGTACAGATTACAAGTACTTCCACCATCTGTAGCACACCTACAGGTTTTTTTTATTATTTTTTTATCCTTGCCCTTATTTTTGTGACCTCTGTCTGACTTCAATGTTTATTCTAAGTAAGACTCCATTTGGCCAAAAAAAAAAAAAAAAGAAAGATTCTTGCTAAATTTGCTTATACATAAATCAAGGGCTCCCTGATTTGTAGGCTCTTTGTACTTGTTTTCTTCAAGGATTAAATATATATTTAAAAAAAAAAAAACAGGACAGCCTTGGCCCCCTGCTAAGTTCAGTTTGGTATTTACAAAAAAATTATTATAGATGCACTAAGAAGATGGATGATTACTGGAATTTGACAATATTCAGTTTGACCAGTCTCGACTGGTGATTTGAGTCTGGTCTTCAGTCTTTGCTTTTATCACTGAACATAGAATTTATGCAACTGCAACCATGTTGCGCTGATGACATGATGATAATGTGATGGCTTAAAAAATAAAAAGTTAGAAAATCGCAGAGTTAAGGTAATGGTCTCCATTTTCAAGGAAATACACAAAGAGACTGATTATCATTAATATAATATGCAAAAAAACGAATAAAATGCCAATGTCAAATCATTTTTGGCTTTGATTTAAATTAGTACAACTCTAAAGACAGCTTAGAGCAATAAGCATAGACATATCTTTCATGTTTCTTAATTAAAATTATTAGAGGGAATTGAAATCTAAAATTTGTATCGAAAGGGTCAAAGCCTGTACAAAAACTGGAGGTTGGAGACTAAACCTTACATCGGTGCATCTCTAGTCGTTATTCTAAAACTTGCAAGGCAATTTATCTTAGAAAACTGTGAAAGATAGATTTGTTTAAGTTAAGATTGTGAGAATGCAGTCTCTGTGTTCTCCCTGCATCCACAATTATCGTCATCAGTCAAACTATCAAGTTCAAAATGTCAAGTGGCGGTTACAGTTCACACAGCATGGTAAACAGTCTCTTTAAGAACATCAGCTGTTAAAAAATAGCCTTTTTGCTTCAGTTGTGACTGATAACCACAGAGAAAGAAAAATTATTAAATGCTGTCGTTCCTCTGATTGCACAATGCAAATGCAAGTTGGTTCAGCAGCTTACTGCTGAAAATAAACTATGCAGGAAATAGATATCAACTCTCGCAGGCAAACTCGGGTTACAGTGCTACTTTAGAAGACAACTTATCTCTGAAGGGTGCATAACATAACATATATATATGTTTATACTTTATAAACTGTGCATTTTTCTAAAATAGTTTGGGACATCAAATGAGAACTTTTTGTACCACTTGTGAATGATTTAGTGCAGTTTTGCAGATGTAAAAAGTTGTACTTGATTGGAGTAACGAAGCTGTTTGATCCTAAAATTATATGTATTCAGATTTGCAGTCTATATTTCCAGTAAAAAGGCAGAACACAGTGTCGTTACGTCTTAATCCAAAACTTATGACTGTAAGTTGAGAATTTGGCAGATTTGATGAAGACCCCTAAAAAGGTGGCCGTGAGAAACTGATCTGCAACAGTGATTTCACTGAGCACATGTGAGTTTAACCGTTTAACCTTGGAAATGAGCCACGACCCACCAAACAAAAAGTAGCTTACATAGTGCTCTTACAATGAACAACAGGGTATAACAAAAAGCTTATCTGTACTCTTCAAACATCGCTTTGATTTGAAGCAAGTGGGAAATAAAAGAATCTGATCAGCATCCAATTTGTTGTGTTTTCCTTATTTAACTGTGAGTGAAAATGTCTCAGTCTTAGAAAAAGTCTCCGGATCTGGATAAAGTTATTCGTTTCTCTTTGTGTTTTGTTTTGATATTCTCATTGTGTTTGGAAACTGAAAAGAGATCATGCTGGCCCTTTTCCCCCTGCTGGCCCAGAGGAAGCAGCATTGAGAACCTTGCCCTCATCTCTTCGTGGGGGAAAAAAAAAAAAAAAAAAAAAAAATGTCAACCTCGCTGTCACTCCGAGCGAGGAGGAGCTCATCTCCCACAAGCAGGGGAAGGCAACTGGATTAGTCGGTGAATCTCTGACAGGCTTTTTTCCATCGACAGGCTGTGCACCACATGTCTCTCTTCTCCATGCCGTATACCTTTCGGCACTTCTTAGCTTCCCCACGGGGTTTCCTTGGAAACAGCAGATGTGACAGTGTAAGGACATGCACAAAGACGTCATCCAGCTTCTCTTAACACACACAAAAAAAAAACAACAACAAAAAAACAACCCAAAAAAACATGCATATTCAGTCTTCTGAAATTAAACTACATCTGCATGAATTCAAAAAGACTTTTAAAAAATAATTTTCAATTAGTTGAAAATACAACCCTAACTATTTTTTACCCCACTGGATAATAATAATAATAACAATAATAATATCATTGACTCATTGGTTTTTCGCCTGTTAAAATGACATTCACAGTGAAAACATCTCTAAATTTGTTTCCTATCTGTCTGTGTCATATGACTTTGTTGTCTGTGTGGGGGTGAGCTGCTGCAACACTGGTCACTACATTCCAAGACATTCAATGCAAAACGTTTACGTTTAAGAAGATGAGAACAACATTATTTTAAGCTCCCACAAGTAAATGTAACTGTACTGTAGTACGTCAGAAGCAGAATTATCAACAGGTCATATTAAGACAGAGAACGAACAAAATAGTGTTAACATGGACAACTCTGGAAAAGTACGTTTCATCTCAGATGTATCTTGGATGTAATGCGGTCTGCTCTGCAGAAACTCTTGTTGGGTCAAAATATCTGTTGCTGACCTTCAAGAAAAAAATGCTTACTGCTGGGTCCAGAGAACAAAGAAACAAGTGCAACATGGCAGGTGCTTCAAAGTAAGGATCTCTAACCATTATATCTTGGTAAGAATTATACAGACTCTGATGACGACAATAGGTTGTGAGGGGAATGGCAGGTGCATACCTGGTTCCTGGTGCTGATTTAGTTGCTGGCGTTACTAAAGCATGGTTCTTGCTAACGGTGGCATGCGAGGGGACCGCCGGCTGCCGCTTTTCACCAATGCTAACAGTGCGAACATGTGTCACAGGGCCCTGCACAAATTGTAAAACATTTACTGACTCAGTGACGCACTAAAACAAAGAGGTCTCACAGAGTCAGGTTTAATGAGAAAAAGACATCTGGAAAAAAAAACCAAAAAAAAAAAACAGAATAATTATGCTATGCATCCCTTTAATAACTGAAGCCTAATTAATTATGTTGTCATAAATAATAACATTAAAATGGTTATGCCAGAGATCTTACTGATATTCTAACAATGACCTGACTAATTGCTTGTAAACCTGTGAAATACAAATCTGGATTTTCAGCTTCTCAATTTCCCACATTAAGCACCTTAATTAAAACAGAAACATGATTTATTTCTAAGGTTAAAAGAAGTAAAAACAACTTGTGAAGAAAAAAACAATAAGCCTATTTTGCAAGGTGACTGGTTCATAGCATGTTATTTCATCGAGTTTTACTTAAATATTTATGTATTATTAAAAAATGTTTCCACAGCATTTTGCAACCTTGCAGATATTTATACTTTTCCCCCTCTTTTTCTGAATTTCTTCGAGCCACAATGTCACCTTGCTGAACTCTGAACTGAGCAACATCTAGAAGCGTCTTCTGCAGCCGCAGGTCACATGTCAGCCAACTTTGCACAGCTGCGCTTCTGACATCAGCTCATTGTTTACCTTACTGTTTTCTGCAAAACTGCATGGTTAACATAAGTGTTACATTATTAGAAAGCAACACGTGTGTTTCACAACTACATTTTGTGTTTTTGCAGATCTTAGAGAGGTCTGTGTCTGAGGATGTTGAAGCTCAGCACAGACTGATTCATTGTGAGCCTCCCTACAGCTTGACTTAACTACCTACATGATTTAAATCACATTCAACGTATGAATTCAAATACTGAACATCAGGTTCCTTGAAAATATTTCTATCTCTAAATGAGTACAAAGCCATTGCAAACATGAATGGTAGGGAATAAAACCCCTAATGTTGTAAAAGTAGACAAATACAGCTACTTTAGTGCAGCAAGGACCAATAAAAATGTGTACAAAAAAAACAAAACATTGCTGTAAGTGGAAACTGCAGGGAAGGAGTGAAGATTGAGATAAAAAGGCGTGAGACAAAGCCTCACTCACCGGGGCGCCTTTAAAAATGACAGGAGGGGGCTGCTGCCAAGACACACTGATGCCATTCCCAGTCCCTGTTCCAGTTCCAGGCCCGATCCCATTACCACTGCCTATCCCAGCCAGCTCAGGACCCACTGGGATACTCACTGGAGCGGTGGCCTGGAACATGGACAACCACCCCACGCAGACAGGACAGGAACACCAAAGAAACAAGGAGGGACAAGAAATGTGCAGGGGGAAAAAACAGATGAGAGGAGAACAGAGTGGAAACAGATTGTACAATTAGTGGGAAGGCATTCATTCCAGCTTCACTCTTGTGATTTTTATTTTTATTTTTTTAAGATGACTCAAAGATTATCAAAAACGCATTGAAAGATATCAGAAGACTACACACAAATTGTGCAATGTGTAGGACAAAAAGAAAACTGGTGAAGCAGTTAGAAAACTAAGGAAATAAGTATTTTTATGTGTATTTTTTATTGTCATGGAAACAGAAAAGGACAGAGTTCAACAAATGCAGTTTAAATAATTTAATTTGACCTCTGTTTATATATAAAGGAGTGTTGCAGTAAAATGAAAAGGAAGAAAAAGCAGAGGGACGTGGAGAAGATGAGGAAGAAGGTATAAAAGCAAATAGCAAAATCATAATGACACTTTGTTTCACTTTAACATAAAAAAAACTTACATAATAACATAAAACTAAAAATTTACAATGGGAGATGTTCTTTCTGTCACTGCTAACCTCCCACATCTATGCTGGAGCAGATCATCTTTCTTGGTTTTACCTGCTGATCTCAAAATCTGAACCTAATAATTGGAACAGCTGCAGCATTGACATCATCAACTAAAACCTTTTCAACTCTTGTTGTACACAGTGTGTATGTGTGTGTGTGTGTGTGTGTGTGCGTGTGTGTGTGAATTACCTGGTAGGCATGGTCAGTGCGGATGTGGCAGAGTGTGGAGGGAGCCGACTGACTGAGCAGCGACGAGGTGTGGCTCTGTGAACCGTTCACGCCGACGTACTCAGAGCGGGACACGTCGCTCAGCGGCGGGGGGAAGATGGGCGGAGGGCCGGCCGTGGTGGGGGAGGTAGGTGTGAGGCTGGACAAGCCCTCCGTCAGGCTGTCCATGTTGACTTCAATCTCTGAGTAATAAAAATCCTCCTCTCCATCGCTGTAATCCGAGTCGCTGTTTCGCCTGCAGAGAAGAGAATTAAGACTTCCTCAAAAGCTTAAATATATTATAGAATTGTTTTTTTTTTTATTTTTTTTATCCTGAACCCAAAGACCTCGGTGTTGAGAAATTATACATATAAGTGTTTGGTAGCCCTACTTCAACAAATTACTGTGTATAATAATAATAAATAAATAAAAAAAAACTGCATTATCTTAACAGGAGGGGGCAGCAAAATTCTACAATCCTGTCAGTGTGCTTAATCTTTCAATGTGGGATTGAAAGACAAACTTTTACCACTGAATGCAACCCTAAAATGTGGGCTAGAAAAGCTTCTTTCTTATAGGTTTAAGCTTAATGTTGCACAAACATTGTTACAATAGTATTACATCTCTAAGAGTCTACACAGCAACATATATGATAGGTATGTGGAAAAAAAGAAGTCGTATAAAGATTAGGGCCAAATGATATCAGGAGATCATGTGAGGGCAACGTTAACTGTGAAAATGACAACATATGTTGCGATAGATCGAGTTTCCTCTCTCCTCTCTTTTACAGTTACGCTTCCAGGACTTTCTGTGAGTGTTAGCATCGTCAGGCCTCTCATCCAGGCCAGACTCCGTAAGGATAAATATTTAATTGCCATGCAACTGTGACACTTAGAATACATTAGAAAACAATAATTCCATAACTACCGCTCCTTTGCGAGATTAATATTATAAACACTTATATTGTGGAAATTATATATTTGTTATACTGTCAAACTTAAGGACATATACTATGATGAACTTCTATTTTTTTTTTCTGTTGAATTTAAAACTAACAACTCTAGAAAAGATCCTGTAGTAAATTTTCCACTTTTATCATCTTTTGGTTAGAAAAACTCAGAACCGGTGAGTCAAGCCTTAAATACAAGCAGAAATATGCATCTTCGAGGAGAAAAGCTTGGTCTGTGTGTCTCTAGGGTAAGTATATCATTTTTAAAGGTTTGCAAAAGAATCAGTGTTTCCACAAAGGTTAAGTTGGGAATGGACTATGCAACTTTCACAGTCTCTAGAGATTTTGAAAAAGCCTGAAGCACACACCAACAGACTGGTTTCAGCAGATTATTTTATGACAACTGATAGACTGAGTAACACTTAACTGTGTATAACGCAGGCTCATAGACCACATGATTTATGAAACCCACTGAAGCCAGCTGAAACACACACTTGAGAGGGTGACGGTTTAAGAATAAACAAACACTCTTGCTGGTGGCAGTAGTGCACCAGTTTCTTGTTTGCCATTGATAAAACTTTAAAGGAGAAGAAACAGTTAAGAAACGGGTCAACAGAGATGGATGACAATTATTTTATTGCTGTACTCTCTTTAATTAGCTGTTGGAAAAACATGTTTGTAGTTGGGGCTGTTAATGCAACACAACAGCATCCAGATTTGGCTCTAAACATCCAGACACGTTTTACTGACTGTGACTGAGATCAATTTGGGTCCACTTCATAAATTGTGGGCGTTTAACCCTTACAAGCTGACAGACTGTTGTGCCAACTAGTTATGCTCATTGTTCTCACCCAGTGCAGACGGATTCAGAGCAGTGCAGACCGTGCCCAGTGTAGTATGCCTTCGGGGTAAGCAGGCTTTTTACAGTTCATAAGCTGTGGGACTTGAAAATTAACCATAATATTACTATGCTAAATGCCAGATTGCATGATAGATGGCAGCTAATGTCTCAAAAGTAATCAACGCCCTGTTTTACTAGATAGTTTGATCATGTACCAAAACCTAAGATCCAAACCTAAATTTAATGTCTATCCCGAAATATCCAGAAACTGTTATGGCCACTTAACCATTTTGCAGAGACATTTCCTTCTCTCAGGGTTATTGGGTTTTCAGAGTATATTTAACTTTTAATTGCAGATGGTTATATTTTCAGGTACAGGAAAAGATGCAGTTCACTCTTAACATCAAAAAACAAACATCATGCTTCTTGCAGTTGTTTCACATGAACATGTATTATTTTTCTTCTTCAAAGTGTTTCTTGTGGTAGAATAAATGGTAGCAATGCATAGCAAAAACTCAAAACTCCTGTCAAATATAATGATTATGTTTACATTTAGTAAAACTCTGGGGACAAGTAGACATTTACGACTATGTCACATCAAAGCTTTTTGTGTGAATCAAATTACTTAAATTATTATTGGTGGTGGTGCATATGTGTGTGTGTGCGTGTGGGTGTGCAGAAATGCAGTGAGAATAAAAACAGCAGTGCAAGATATATATGCATCATACGGTGAGAAGAGAAACAATGACTAAAGTTATTATCTAATATGTATACAAATATTTTTTATTTTGCATTTGAAACAGTTTTGCTTTTGTTGGTTTAATGAAAGTAGGAGTTGGAGGAAAACAGACATTCTCAGCATTCCTGTGATGATTATAAAAACTTACCCCAGGTGGACGGTGCGGATATGTCGCTGGATCCCTGAGGAGGTGCTGAGGACCTTTTCACAGTTCTTCCACAAGCACTTAAACATCACCTTCATGGAGTTCTGAAGAGATACAAATTTTTGTTTTAATAGAAGTGTCTTTAGCAACATTAAAAATGAGGCCCTGTGGCTTCTGCACATTATTGATTGGATAAGAGAAAAAGATGTGGCGTTAAATCGGATAAAAGAAAAAAAAAAAGTGAAACCCTCTCATCATCGAACAAACACACTGCTTTGCAGATCTACAAAGTTTTAGGATTTTATGCAGTTTGAGCTAATTATTTCTAATTGGAGTTCAGCTTTTCTTCTTTCTTTCTCAAAAGAGGAAAAGCAGTCCTAATCACACATTTTAGATAGAGATGCATCAGTTAATCGTAAAGAGATTTCCCTGCTTTCCCTTGATTCAGCATGATTGGTGAAAAGCAGATCAAATTTGAAAACAATCTGTTTCCCCCCATTTGCATCAAAAGTGAGAACTGGCATAATTTTGAATGTCTAAATCCAATAACAAGCAGTACTATTTATTTAATTGAATAAAAATCTGATAAAGATTATGGACATATGCTTAGGTGCATAAACGGGGATAATCTTGTTTTCCTTCCCTTTCTATTGGATGTAAAACTACCATACTCATCAAAGTCCAGGTATTGGCCAATAAAAGTCTGATCGGTTCATCTCTGCTTTCAGAGTAGTAATACTATAAAAACAGAAGTTGTACATTATGTGATAACTTAGAACACATAAAACAAAAGATAAATATGACAGATAAACATGAGAGATGACAGAACATAAATACTCACACATGCTCCGAGACTGACAACACTAGAAAAGATTCACTGATAAGTTAAACCTCCAGGATGATATCTATATTATTGAGCACACCATTAAATAACTCCCTCAGAAATTAATCATGTCCAGTTCTCTTCACATCAGACTTATCACAAAACACACAATACTCCTACTTGACTCTTAAGCAAACCTTTATGGAGAGATGGAATACATGTGGTCTGGTTTTATTTCATTTTCTTATCCACATGCCAGTGCTGGCAGCAGTCCCTTTAGCAGGCAGAGACCTGCATCTGTGCTAATGAAAGATGGTGGGTGTGTGTAGTCTCATTGCTCTCAAACATGCAAAAAAAAAAAAAAAAACAAACAAAAAAAAAACCCAAAAAAGACCAATAGAACATGTTTTTAATGAACACTTTTTTTTTTTTTTTTTTCCTGAAGCGTCTTCCTCTCTCTTAACAGGAACACGCTCTGTATTGAGTAGTGTTTGCTATCCTGCTGTTCATAGAAGAAAAGGAAATGGCAAAGCGAGTGTTTAATCCCACTAACGATCACAAATCACTTAATTCCTTAAGAGATTTTCCTTTTAATACAGTATTTTAACACATTTACAGTAGGACTTGGGATTGCTGTTAATTTATCCTCTTAAGTCATTGCCATAATCAGACATCCTACAATCCAGTGTACAGCTGCTTGCCATGCAAATGTTTTAAACCTTTAGAGCAGTGGTTCTTAACCTTTTTGAGGTACCGAACCCCCCAGTTTCATA